ACTTACTTCGGTGATGTGTTAGTGTAAGAACAAGGATCATCAACATGGTCAACCATATTAGTATACTATGCGGATACTACACATTTTGAATTTCATGTGAATGAAAGTAAGCGTGATGAATCTTTATTCAATGATGATAATAAAACTGTCCACACTAACAGATCACCGAAGTAATTCCGAAATGTAAGCTTACCTTAAGTTAGAATGTAAAAGTGCTTCAATGTAACAAAAACAGAAGAGTGGTATTGGTATGTTGTACCATTCTGCTTATATCTTGATAAAAAGTAGAGAAAAAGGTAGTAATCACCATAAAAGCCAACTATCAGCCATGTGCTTATTTTCTCATCTTCGACAGCTAAGCAACAAGTATCGATGTCTCTAGATAAGAATGATATCAGTATTTTTCTCTTAGTCGAGGTCAGGTCATTGGAAAAAGCCAACTAATTTTGACTTCTTTTATGACAAAAGCTACCCTACAGTGTATGTATTGTAGCTATTTCTAATTTTAGAACCATTTTCTCTTCCTTATTTCTCTGCAATATACATAACATCATAACTGACTGGCACAAAAGTCTTGTCTCATAGTAGTGTCCATTTATTCCGACTATGATTAAACTATTTTCTTTCTTATCCTAAGGTAAGATCGACATGATCTGAATAACCGACTTTAGCAAAGGATGTTACAGACATAGAAGAAAAAGCGTTCCTGAATATCATCAACACAATGATTAATTGATCTTTGTTTACGATAATGTGATTTATTTGTGTCTGTAAAGGAAAAACTTTAAGATTATTTTCGAGATTGAGTCAGGTATATCATTTGTTTGAAATTAGGATACATGTTACCGTTGTAATTGATGCCTAAGAAATACAGCATATAGTAAAATCACTTATTAGATATAATACAATTGCGCCGCGAACAAAGTCTTATATTACGGGTGTGATGTGAACACATATTTTAGAAAGAAAACATCGTTCGTTGTAGGTAGTGCTCGAATTATTTGGCTGAAAGTTTATTTTTAACTATATTTTTTCCTTCATGTTCGGTTCGTTTGAAAAAGCCAACTAATTTTGACTTTTTTTTATGACAAAGGCTACCCTACAGTGTATGTATTGTAGTTATTTCTAATTTTTGAACCATTTACTCTTCCTTATTTCTCTGCGATATATATAACGTCATAACTGAAGCACAAAACTCTTGTCTCATAGTTTTAGTCACTTTATGTTGATAGAGTTTATATAAACATCATAATAAGCAGAAAGATTTCATGTTCCTGAAATATAGTTTATTCAAAGGAGACACGTTGGTAATTACATAGAATGTATCATAAATAATATGTAAAAAAGGCAGTATGCGTCATTATATAGTATCTATAGGCAAAAGATCATTAAAATCGGAGAGGGACATCAGGGAAGGTTCCCTCGTAAGTTTGAATAAAAGGTTTTTGTTTATGTTTTTTTGTTTTTTGTTTTTTTTGTTGTTTTTGGTATAGAAGATACATTACTATGTCTTGAGTATAAAATAAAAGGTGCGGGTTTCTTTCTAATCAGAAAACTTTCGTTAAACAACAAACTGCATTCTGTTCTGACATAAATAGTAGAAAATAAATTATAATTGCAAAAAGTATACATCTATTCGTGACTAAAAATAATTGTGACTGTTAAACAAAAATGAATTGCTGCGTGAAAATTCTTGGCTACTTTTTCCAAATATTACCTTCTTCTTATTTAGCTTGGCGTACATTTTGGCAAAAGTTAGCACAAATCTTGATGAGCAACATAATATTTATTTGCCAGACCATGATTACCCTCAGCTCGATATTTGTCTTCATTGTATATGCATAAATCTCGAGTACGACTAGATAAAAATTTATGTAATTTATCTTCGCCGAATATCTGCTCAATTTGTGGGTACCTTGCAACTGGACTATGAATTGCATTTTGTGCATCAGCCAAACAGTAGATATAAAACGAACATTTAGCAGCCAAACATTCCACATCCGGTATAAGTTGTAGAGCACCAACGTACGGTGTGAAAAGAGAAATTCTTTTATCCTTATGTTCTTTCACTTTGTCTATTAATTCTTGCTTACTCTTAACATAAATTAAATCAATATAACATGTTTTGGTATTACCATGTCGTTCAACAGGATCATGAAGAATGTTTACACGTTCAATCGAATTCATTTTTATGAATGAATTAACAACAACGAAATTCACCTGAGATAAAAATACAAGTTCCGAATTTGCTATAGTTATTTTGGTTTCATAACCGCATAAAAGTTTGTGTGCTTTGGTTACTGTGCATTTTTCTAAACTTAGTAGTTAATATAACTTTATCACTATATATCTTTATTCCAATAGTATAAAAGCAAGCTCACATTGCATTTGATGAATCTTCATAGTTTGTTATTTAAAATTCTAATATTTCTAAAGTTTATTAAACAGAATTTAATACTTCGTCGTCACTTTTACTAATTTCTACACAGTTTTTATCATCATCATTGTATAAAGATTCATCACGCTTACTTTCATTCACATGAAATTCAAAATGTGTAGTATCCGCATAGTATACTAATATGGTTGACCATGTTGATGATCCTTGTTCTTACACTAACACATCACCGAAGTAAGT